GGTACAGAGGAAGAAATCAGTTTCATAAGAATTGTCAAAATGCAGGCGGCAGCAAGTGGGGAAAAGGCAAGACTAGGGTTTTTCCCTCTTCAGTCTGTGCTTGTTGTGCAAGAAAGAACAGATACAGGAAAATGTGAAAATCTGAATGTAGTACTTTGGCGTGCCATATTTAGCCCTTGTTCATAGATGTCTTTATTACTTTTATTACATGGTGATATTCTCCAAAACATGCTTTTGTTTGTGTTCCTTCACAGAAGGAGGCTTTGTGAAGTGGCAACCATTAAGTGTGCCACAACTTCCCCTCAGAGTTGCAAAGTTGCCACTGGTACAGCTGACAAATAATTCACCAGTAATGACAAAAAGGTTTATTATCAGATAGGAAAACATCTCAAGGGTGGGTCCCATCCAGATCTGTCAGGGGCATACTAGTTTTTGTTGGTTTTTCTTTTTTTAAGAAGTTGGTGTGAAATAGAATACACTTAGAAATAAGAGGAGACATTACGGATACCAGGAATGGGATTCAAATTGTCTCAGATAAATAAGAGAAGTAGTCCTACATGAACAAGTCAAAATGTCGTAAGGACAAGGAGTTTTAGAATTACAGGGGAATAAAAAATAAATGCAAATTAATTACATGTTCCTTTCTTAAAAAGAAGAAAAAAAAAAAGGGCAAATAATCTGGCATGCACTAGCAGACAAAAAACAATCTAGAATAAAGGAGGTGCACAGTTTGTGTTTTTATACAGGTTTGTTTTTTTTTTTAATTCAACTTGGAATTGGTGAGGTCTCTAAGAATCTTGAGTACAGGAAGTCTGACAGATGCAGACAAACAGGCAGAAGTGCACAGAGAAGTGAGATGCCTGATAAGGGCTGAGGAAAATGATCTGTGAAGAAAGACTGAATGAGTTAAGCTTGTTTATCTAGAAGAGAGAAAACTAAGGGCAAAGTGTTGAGCATTTCAAATATATATTTTTACCAAAGTGTTATTAGAGAGAATATTCTTCCAAATGTCAATGTTTTCTCTGTTTTGTGAGAGCACTCAATCATAACTGTCTGTATCACATATGTTGGTTTATAAAGAGATTGATAACTAGTTGGTTCTCCATGTCCAACAAAGCACAAGAGAAAATCAATGTAACTCGCTGTGCAAAAAACTTAGGGAATATTCAGAAGAACTTTCTTACTCTTCAGGTAATGAATTGCTAGAACAGGCTACCAAAAAAACCTACCGCTGCATAATCTCCTTCACTGAAAGTTTTGATAAAGTTAGATAAACACCTGTGAGGGATGGTTGAGGTTTACTTCACCAGGCCTCAGTCTAAGTGGTTTGAATAGCGATGTGCTGAAGTTTTCTCCAGCCCTACGTTTCAACAGAAGAGGAAGGAAGAAATCCAAAGGGTTCCATTACTTTTTAATGCTTCTTCACTTACAGTTTTACGCATAGCCTGCTCCCTCCCGGAATTCTCTCGTTGATGGTGATCATGTCATTGGTACTGATTAAGAGTACTCATCTTTATAATAGGAAAGACCAGTAACCGTAAAGACAGAACTGTATGCAGAAAATGGTCTCTGTCCAGAGCCTGCAAAGGCAGGACAGACACAGGATAAAGGCAAAACATGAAAAAACACATTTTCCCCACTTTCCCTCTCCATCTTTATCTTTTATCTTCCTTTGCTCTTATAACAGTAACGTCCAACATCTCTCAGCAGATTTCCCGTATATTTGAGATTCTTTCCCACTAGTTTTTCTTATCCAGGACTTGAGTGTGTTTGCATGAATTCTACTTAAAATGGCTATAGTATGGGGGAGAGGGCATTTCCTATGAACATGACGTCTCCTTGTCTAAAATCTGTACACAACCCATCTTCATAAAGCAGCCGATCAAAACTTGAAGATGTAGGGCAACGTGCCTCAAATGTTTTCAAAATAATCATCTTACAAAAACAGCATGGCTTCAAAATTCCTATGAATGTATGCTATCACCATTTTTATCTTGTCTTGTACTGTGCTTAAAAAGGTCTGAAAATGGATGCCAAATTGCTGCAATTATTAGTATCTATAAAATTGTTTTTAAAAAGTGATAAATGGCAAGAACTGTCAGATTCTACACTTAATCTTAATCTTTTACCAAGACTGGAACAGACCACGTAATTTTAAACTTTTATGTTAAAACTGTATGTAAAAAGAATCCACGTGTTTTGGCTCTACTGGGGTCAAATTCATCTCTCTCCCTGACATTAGCAAAACTAGTATGAAAACTTACAAACTCAGTTATATGGTTCTTAAATTTTTGGAAATGTCGTTTTTCTTCTATTGCTCATTCTTTGACATTGTGGATACATCACTGAAGTTTACAGTTGCCTCTAAATACTTGTGGATCACTGTTCGTAACTGTGTAAAATCTCGTGATTTTTGTCTGAGAAAGGACTTCAGCGCATCCCAAAATTTCTCTTTCCACAACAACAGTCAATTTAGTATGTTGAGTGGCAACTTTGTTTCGAGGTTGTTGTTCTTCGTTTTGGCTTGGGGTTTTTTTGTTTGTGTTTGTTTTTTTTTCTTTTTAATACAGCAAGTCACCTGCTTGCATGAACTCAATGTTTATTTTCTACTGGATGGTACTGGATGCCAACTTGCAACCTTTATCTAAAATATATCTCATCTCCAGGGATGTGAGTCTGCTTGTAAAAATTAGACTGGAACAAGCAAGCAGAGAAAAGTTTGTAAATACACAGCAGTAAAAGAATAAAAAATAAAATAAATATTAATGTGGAAGGTAAATATGCACTACAGTTAATTTTTCTTGAAAGAATAGCATGAGGTCAACCCTTGCAATTTTATAATCACAAAGAATGTAAAGAAGAAAATTCCCCATGCAGCATTTACACAGATAAGTGAAAGGAACTCCTGAAGAAAAGCTGAATGCACACTCTCTGCCTAAGCCACAAAACATCAGTACAAAATTATGAGTAGGTACAAGCCCAAATTAAACAAACAGTTATTTATACGTGTGCTTATGTTATATTCCCTTGGGTGGTCCAGCTTCCTTCTGTGAAACTATTCATGCTAACAGAGTTAAGCATGTGTACTCACAGGAAGAGTCTCTGAGGTCTCATAAATAAATCCTATTATGTAATATCTGATAAAGTTGTTTTTACATCAGTATCAAGCTTAGGAACAAGAATGCGTATTACTGGGCCAGACCTGAGTTCAGTGTCCTGTCACAACAACTGACTAGTGCTAGATACTTGAGAGAAATTTATATGTACACTGTAATGGGAAACATGGGATGATTTTTGCTCACAGTAGCCTTGTATCTCATTAAATCCTCCAAAGCCTTTCCAAGTCAGCAAATTCCATAATCCACAGTATTTAAAAAAAAAAAAAAAAAAAAAAAAAAAAAAACAAAACCCCCCACAAAACAAAAAACACAACAACCCACAAAAAAAAAAAAAAAAAAAAAAAAAACCAACCCTAAAAGAAACCAGAAACGCCCTTTTAACAATTCTAAATTTGCCACTTTCTAAGAGGATGTCCTCTTGCTTTTTGGTTATCACACTGCGTATGTAGACCTTCCAAACTTCCTGTATCTGTTCCAGTTGCCCTGATACACTTATCATGGCACATTAGTTTGTCTACTTTCTTAAGTATTTTTTTGTTCTTTTGAATCATTCTTCATACAACCACTTTTTCTGTTCTCCATTCTTTTCATTTTCTTTTCCTCATTCTTTCTAATTTGCAACATTCATTCTGAAAGGGAGTTTTCAGTGTTGTACAGTTTCAAAATAAGCTGCAGTACTTGCATAATGACATCTTTTTTTACATTATTTCTGGCTTGTTAAATTTGTCTAGGCTGCAAATTGAGCTGTGTCGTTATTGTTCAGGTCCCTTTTCTGTGCAAGTATCATTGAACTAATCTGTGTGTTTTTGCAAGGCACATTACTTACATTTGTCAACATCAAACTGCATTTGAAACATGCTTATCTGCCTCTGAAGCTTCTCAGAACTGCCCGAGTAACTAGTAAATTGAGGAAGCAGGTCAAGCATCTGTATAGGCTGAAGCGTAACTTGCACGTTTAAGCAAAAACTTTTAAGCTGAAGTTGAGTTTAAGAGCAATGTCAACGTAACAGTTCAGGTTCTGATGTTGCCTGGGTCTGGTTTCCATCTCCCTCGGTGACGCCCCTCCGACTAGCCGCCCCTTTCACGCACCAGCAGCTGCTGGGTAGTACCGCCTGTCCCCCCCGACGCCGAGGTACCACGGCACCCGCCCACCGCGCCCAGACAACGGGCTACCTTTCCCGGTCTGTAACCGTAACCTTCCACAACTACAGAGTTTTGGGGGTTGGTTGTTTTTTTTTTTTTCTCTTCCCAAACGTGAGGGACTGTGTTAGAAGCCTTTGGAAGTTTGAATCGTCGCTGTAACGAGCTAGAGGGGAAGGACCGGTGCGCGCCCCGACCCCCTCCCGCCTCACTCGCGGAGAGGCGTTAGCGGGGGGACACCCCAATTTACAGTCCTCCCCTGCCTCACGGCACACAGGAGCCTCGCGGCTGCCTCCTAGTTCCCCCCCAGAAGGTTCCCCTCCCGAGATCCCCGTCCCTGCCTGCCCCTGGCATCCGGAGGGGGCACGGTGCTCCCGCCGGGGCCCAGCACGCAACGCCCGACCGGATGCCGCTTCTGCGCGTAGCGCCCCCCGCGCATGCGCCGGGTCTCGAGGCAGAGGCGGCGGGGAGGACGCCACCGTACGCATGCGCGTCGAGCGCAGAGGCGAAAAGGCAGGGGGAGGGGTGCGTCCTGCCGGCGCCGTTTAGGTCGAACTGTGCGCATGCGCCTTGGGGCGGCGGGCGCTACGCATGCGCGC